ATGAGTCCAAATAATTTTGGATATAATTTTGGCAACTAATAAAGTTAATTTCAGAAACTATTTTGGCATTTCGGATTCGGCGATGATCATTTATTAAGAGAGGAAATTTCGGCTAACATCTATATATAGTCCTGAACAATTATCACATGTCACATATAGATCTTTTTCATCCATCATGATGAATTTTTTGAAGAAAATCAAAGTCATATTCAAAGTTGTATTAACTCCTTTTGATATTCCCTCTGGTAATTAATCTTCTCTTGTTGTATAATCTAGCTGAGTACATATACCAAAGATATTTATTTTAAATCAACTTGGTCAAGATGCAACACTTTGAGCCAAATTATAACAGTTGTGAGTTAATGTTGAACCATTTTTACACTTTTCTTTAATATTATTATAATGCAGTTTTTCATAATCTGTAGCTGTAAAATGTTTATCAAATTTGAATTGCATGTCAATTTTTTCATCCTTATCATTTAAAATGATTTTTAACTTAATGTGTGGTTTTAATTGAGTCCAGAGTTTGTGAAAAGTTTTATATTTTATATTTAGTATAGATGTGTCAACACGAAGCATTTGTCACACTTATGAACTATAACTATTTTGAGTTCCTGGATAAATATGGGTCTGAATTATCACAAAGTCTCATTTGGGCAATCCATGTAAATCAACATAGTTTGGTATAAAATTTTTCACACTTTCTGCTACTTCAAAATCAACAAATGCTCATGACTTAAGTTTAAGAATATTTTTTATATTACCATGTTGACAATCATCTAAACCATTTGTTTTTAAATGTCTCTTAGTTCATCTATTTTAATATCACATAGTTTTAAAGATACAGGTTGGCAAATGGGTATTGTTTCATTATATTTATATTTGTAATTAATAATTGAATTTTCATTGTGTTTTGATAGAAAGATCTTTTTCATTTTATCTAAACTTTTAATCTTTTAAAGCCTATTTTTTTCAAGCAATTTTGTTGTTTTATGACAATTTACATCTTGAACTTTGGAAAAATCATTGATTATGCTAATTACTAAATCATTTTGTTCATTAAATTGTATTCTGGTATTAAATTAATTAAAGACATGTTTTTAAATAGTATTTTAAGATATAATATTGATTTTAATAATTATTTTATTTGATTTATTATTGCAAAAAAATTTATTTATAATTTTTATTAAGTAAAATTTTTCATCATCTTGTTTGGTGGAACCTCTAAAACCTTTTAAAGATGGCCCAAAAAATTTGATGCCTTTAGGTGATTGCTAGAAATATTTTTTCAATGACAGTGTTTGGGTGATTAAAAAAGACAATTTCCATTAACATTCAAGGATCATCAGTCTTGAAATATAATTAAGGAAATTTAGGAAAGGATGAGCGGGAGTTTAGGAAGGGGAAAGTGGGTTCAGATTTTTAAGTATTACATGGGGTGGTGAGTTGTGTACCAAAGGTTCCTATTGCAAGGTTAATCCTTATTATTATGTCAACTCCTCAAATGAGGAGGTATTACCCTTTATGTAAAAATATAGTTTCTATCATCCTGAAAATCATTGTATTGTTGTGGAAAACTTTTTTCTTTGAATTTAATATACATTCACTTTATTTATTCGATTTTTTTTTATTCAAAATTATTGTAAATTCTTACTACATCTTCAACTTCATTCAGTCCATCCTCCAATTTATTAATTACTTCCATCAATTCTTCATTAACACTAACTTTTGTCTTTGGAATATATCCACTATTCCTAATACTTATTACTTCATAATCATATTTCTCTTTTATTTCTTTAGTAATTTTGTTGACATTCAAAGGTTCACATGTTATCTTTTAAAAATCAGATATATGTATTAATTCTATGTATTAATTATTTTTATTATACATTTATTTATTTTACCTCTAATGTATCTTCATTCACTTCTTTTATATCTTCAATTCCTTCAATCTCTATAACATTATCCATCATTTTATCAATTGTGTCTTTTTCTTTATTGTTGCCTGAATGAAATTGAATTGACCCTTCAATAAAAATATAATAATATTAATTGTTATTACTATTATTGTGCAATTATTATTATCAGTTTATTATTAATAGTCTTATACTATCATTCATTAACCTTTTTTATCAAACATCCATGAAACACTTGACATTGATCCTCTATATTAAAATAGAGAAAAAATTTTTTTTTGAGGGACAGACGCGAATTGATTTTTTTTTTTTTTTTTTTGGAAAAACAATCTTATTTTTTGACAGAGTCCAAGATGAGGAAACGCGAGTGTTGTTGTTTGGCTCTGAAGACATGTTAATAACTAACCAGAGGTACTATTTTTTATTTGTATTGATGTGTCTTTTATTTTATAAATATTTTAATTGGAATCAAAACGCGGAGCAGATCTTGCTGGGTAATTATAAGATTCTTATCAAGATGATAACAAATGAACGATTGGTGTTTTGCTTTTTGTAATCATTAATAATATTAATATTATAATATAATTAATTACATGTCAAGGCAGCACACCATTGAAAAAGAAATACTTCGATATGCAATGTTTGATTATCAAAAATTTTATAGACGTTGAAGCATCCACACTACCTTGAACTTTACAGTCATTC